AATTTTAATTGTGAAGTTGTTAAATATAAGTGTTTAAATTTAATTGACGGATTTATTTATTTTTAAATTTAGTAGAGAGAGTTTTTGATTAATAAAGGACTCTAGCAACAATATGAAATTTAAACTTAAAAGTGGTTGTGTTTTTTAATTATTAAATAAATTTATTTTAATTATAAAAAATAAAAATGATGCAATAAGTGCTAATTAAGACTTTATTTAATATTGTTTTAATTTTTAGTTTTTAATTTATATATTTAGAAATTATTATTATATTTAAAAATTAAAATTTACTAAATTTTATATAATATAATTTTAGTTACTATATATAAAATAAAAATAAAAATTAGAAATTAAAATGATACTAAACAAACAATAATTAAATTTAGAGAATAATTTTCATAATTTACTTTTTCTTGATAAAAAATGAACCTTTTATTCTTGATGAAATTAGCATTCCCTTTTAATTTTTTTGGACAATCAATGAAATAGGCATTTTTTTTTAGTATTAATATAATAATTATTAAAAGTTGATTAACTAATCATACTTTATTATTTTTGAGAAATATTTACCCAATACCATAATTCCCATTTTTTATGTCTCATCTCACGTGAGAAACGTCGCGTGTAGCGAAGGAGAACAGTGTCGCGGGTGAGCGTCGAAGTGCCCCGCAATTCGTGCGCATCACTTTTGTATTGTGAGGAACGATGCACCGACTCACTGCCAAATGGCACGTGCGCACGTGACCCATTCCCTCCCCCGCTCCTCCTGACTCCTTGCCTTTTCTGCGTAGTGTTCATGTTATCTCTGCTTTTCATTTTTATTTATTTATTCACTTTATTAAATTAAATTTTATTTATTTACATTTTCTGTCTCTCTGATTCTGATTTGAGCACTCTTTTCTTTTGGGAACTACTAGGCTTTCAGCAGTAAAAAGACCAGTCTATCCTCGCAATTGATATTAATAGTATTTTTTTTTTTTTTATGATAATAATAGAATGTTTAGATTAAAGGGGATAGAAGGAAGAAGAGGAAAACAAAGGAGAAGTAGAAAAATTTTAAAATAAAAAAAATTAGAGAGGGGAGTGAAATTTTTTTATTTTTTAAATTTAGTTATTTATCTAAATGAGGGAAATGGAGATTAGAAAAATGGAGGTAATGATAGGAAAAATTTTCCTCTTTTCATTTCTTTTGACGCAAATATAAGATAATTTAGTTTAGTTTAATTGTTGAAAAATACCTTATAATTACTTTATCTAATTGGAAGAATACATGTGTTTGAATTATATTACTTTTAAATTAATTTACTCATCACACTTTTTGTTAAAGTATATAGTTTTATTTACTTGTAATTTTTTATTTTAAGTATAGTATTAAAGTTTTTTTTTTCAATTTTACCCTATTGATAATTAGTCCTTTGTTTTTTTTTTAAAAAAAGAACATTTAAACTTCCTTTATTGATAAGAAAAAAAATTGAAATTTTAATTAATAATAAATGTATTTTTATAAATTTTTATTTTTGTATAATTATGGCAAATAAAAGTATAATAAGTAAATTTATACTTTCATTTCTTAAAAACTAACACCAATTTCTATAAAATTTTACCTTAAAAAATAAAATTTCACAAACTTTTATTCATGTTTCATTTGATATATGCTAAGTAAAACTCCACTTTTAAAAACAATCAAACGTGGGTCTTTAAAATGAAATATGAATAAAAGGGTGATATTGGGATCTTAATCCACCTTAGTTATTAGGTAAGGTAGGGAATTAACAAAAGGCACACAGGGTGTCCCAAATGGGGAAGACCCCTTTTTCTCTCCAGCCGTACGAAATTAACTTTAATATATCACCCTAAGTTTGTTGTTATAATTGAACTTGCATTAACATACAGTGACAAATTACTTTAATATGTACTATATATATTATTAGTTATAAAAAGAAAAATATTAGTCCAAATCTAATCCTGAGCAGAGCATCTCTGCCCTCACTTTTGACTCCTCAAGATTCTATTGTCCATTCCCAATTGCCTAAGGTGACCTCCTCAATAATAGCTTTAAATAAAATAATAATATAATAGTTACTATTAAAATTTTACCCATGAGAATAATAATAATAATAATATCTCGTTATCTTGACAGGTGTTTGGTAAATTGGAGGAAGAATAGTGATAGCTTATCTCCTCGGATCCTATGTGTGTGTGTGTTTTGAATTGAATATTGGAAAAAATAATAATAACTAGTATATGTTTAATTTAATATATTTTTAATATTTATTTTAATTTAATTGTTAATATATAATATAAATATAATTAATTCAGTTAGACTTTGTATTTGTATG